ATAATAATAATAATAATAATAATAATAATACTTTCTAAAGTTGTTTTTTTTTCGAGAGCATCCGAGCGGAGAACGCTACCTATTAAGCTAACGGAGCGCCCCTCTTTACAGGCTCAAATCTGTCCAAATTGAGATGGAAATTTTAATATAACAATAATAATAGATAATAGATAGCATTTGTATAGCGCAAATTTCCGCTCAACAGCAAGCTCCATGCGCTTCACAGTCTACACTATTACCCCAGCAGACCCTGAAACAACATCAACTTCCTGGGAAGCACACAGTGCAAGCAGCCATTTATAGGCGCTAAAACACTAACATACTGACAAGACCTTTCGCTGTCTATGGCCGGGTACCCATTCCCACCTGGGTAAAGTACGGAAAATTCGTGTAAAGTGCCTTTCCTAAGGACACAACGTCGGGCCCGCGTCTCGAACCCCCGAACCCGAAACCTCACGATTACGAGTCTTTAGCCTCGCCACTAGGCCATCGCCACCGATCACGCTTCTTACCTGATCTCAAAGTGTTGAAAAAAGGTGTAACATTTATAGTAGAACCAAAGCAACGGTGCGGAACCTTAGCACCATACAAAAAGCAGGTGGCGATTTGGCGTGTGTCGTAACTCGGACACAGCTTTGGTCAACTTAAACGATTATGTTGTAGCCTACTGAGTTCAGTCAATGCTTTCCAAACGAACACTACTTTAGTCCAGTGACCTTGGAGAGGGGATAATTTTTTCTATAAATAAATCGCCAAACTTCTAGTTTTGTTTTGACTTGAATTTATCTTATCCTTTCGTAACTCATATACACATTTTTATCTCAACAAAAATCTCATTTTGCAAATGTGTTATTTTTAAAAACTGGTTTGGAGCGAGATCAATTTCTCGTAAATCACAGAACGGTGACTGTAATTCTAAACAATGCGTGCCCCCCCCCCCGCACACACAATCTTTGGGTTCATCCCATAACGATGATCACCACCACACACATACACACACAAACACACACACACACACACAAACAAACTGTATGTGTAGATGTCCGTGGTGAGGATCACCCCAGATCAGTAAAAGTGGCCCCAGGCCATCCGTCTGCAGCTCTTGCTTAAGCCTGGTGTGAAATAAAACACCCAAAGCTGCACAGTATAGTCTCCCTATTTCCTCTTCTGATTCCCCCCTACCCACACCCCCTCTCTCTCTGTCTCCCTCTCTCTAACTCTCTCTCGCTCTCTCTCTCTCGCTCTCTCTCTCTATTTCTCTCTCTCTACTTCTCTCTCTCTCTTTCTCTCTCTCTCTCTCTCTCTCTCTCTCTCTCTCTCTCTCTCTCTCTCTCTCTCTCTCTCTAAGGGGGCTCTCGTGGCCTAGAGGTTAAGATGTTGGCCTCTCATTCAAAGGTCCCGGGTTCGAATCCGGGTTGCGACCGAAAAATTTTCTTCGCTAAAATGTGTCTCCTTTCACCTCCTTTCCTGCTCTCCAACAATGCCCTGTCGTCTGCTTTCGCCCCCACCCCCTCACCTCCTTTGCCCCTCCTCTGGGCTCCGGACTCTTTCTGCAGCCTTTCTACTGCTACTCCTTGGTTCCTCCTTACTGCTGTCTTTCTGCCACACCCTTGATCTTCTGGTAGGAAAGATCTACACCTAGCCTTCTCGGACAAGGCGAAAAATCTCGCAGGGCCCGTGTGCAAGTTGCGCACGTTAAAGATCCCTTGGTGGTCTAAAATCGAAAAGAGTAGGGTTCGGCCGGCATCCGGGCAAAATTCAAAATTTCCTACCAACTGAAAATATTAGGTGTGTCCCGCGCGCTCATATGACCTTATGCAGTTGTGAGCGCCGTAAAACACTTACCAAAAAAAATAAAAAAATCTATCTCTCTAGCTCTTTCTCTTTCTCTCTCTCTGTCTGTCTCTCTCCCCTCTCTCTCTCTCTCTCTCTCTCTCTCTCTCTCTCTCTCTCTCTCTCTCTCTTACACACACACACTCACTCTCTTTGACTTTCGTTTTGTGCCACCAACAGGATAAGATTATTGTAACACACAAAAGAAACAGGAGATGAAAATGGCACTGAGGCGCGGTGAAGCCAAACATGTCTTTCCTATTCAAGACTCTACCTCTAATTGTCTTGGCCCGATGTCTTGGCAAACGCAACAGTGGAATACTTTCGAGTTGGCTTGGGTTTTTTTCCAAGGGAACAATATTGAACGAAGAAAAATTTTGTCTCTTTTTTTTGGTAGGAAAAATAAAAGGTTAGTGTTATTTGTTTGAAGTGGCGAATAAGCTTCCTTATAATAAAATGAAATCAAATCGTGCTTTTTAATGTTCTCAGATCTTTGCGTACAGGTATAACATTTGGGTGGCCAAAAGAATTTAGAAGTCCATTCATAAAGGTCTTTGCAAACTAAAGTTTTGGCAGGTTTATTTTTTCTTTGATGTTGGTCCAAAGCGGGCAAAAACAATCATAGGGGATTTACAGCATGCACCTAAAACGTTAAAAAGTTGACATAATATTTTCCCCAACGCCATACTTTAACGTACGCTTAATGGGGGTTGCCCTCTAGCAAATGTGAATCTGGTCGGGACGTCGAGTCGGGTCGCTTTCTGGTGGTTTAAGTGTATTCTACAACCACGCCGCGATTGTACCCGACGACCTGGAAGTAAAGGTAGAGAAACCTTTAGCCTACATGCGACTACACAGAGGGCGTAAACCAGGCTACAATTGGCTGAACCTTTGACCAATGAATACATTAAGTAGGCCTACGGTACTCTTGGACTTCCCGCACTCCCTCTCTTGTTTTCCCTCTGTGTGTGTGTATATATATATGTGTGTGTGTGTGTGTGTGTGTGTGTGTGTGTGTGTGTGTGTGTGTGTGTGTGTGTGTGTGTGTGTGTGTGTGCCCGCGTGTGCATGTGTGCGCGAATGTGCGTGTGTGCGTGAGTGTTTGCTTGCTTGCTTTAGGGTCTCTCTCCTTTCTTGTCTATTGCTCACTTGCCATATATCAGAGACCTAGTTACATTGCTAGGCCTCTGTCTCTCAATTTATCTCTCTACCTCCCTGTCACTCTCACCACCCTCCCTCTGTAGTGCTTTTTGACCCCCTCTATCTCTTCTTTTTACTCTCTCTCTTTCTTTCTCTCTCTCTCTCTCTCTCTCTCTCTCTCTCTCTCTCTCTCTCTCTCTCTCTCTCTCTCCCTCTCTCTCTTTCTCTTTTTTTTTATTTCTCCTTCTCTCCCAAGGCAGGGTAACAAACGAAAAAGTCCCATTTTGTACCATGTATTACTACTAAATTCTTCTTCTTCTTCTTCTTCTCCTCCTTCCTCTTCTCCTTCTATTTCTTCATCTTCTTTTTCTTGTTCTCCTCCTCCTCCATCTCCTCCTGCTCCTGCTCCTACTTCGTCTTCTTCTCCTCCATCTCCTCCTCCTTCTCATCCCCCTCCTTCTTCTTCGTCTTCTTCTTCCTCTATGAGCGCCCCAAACCCGCAGTGAGAAGTGAGAAGACGGTCAAAGGCGTGAGACCGAAAACGGGAATGCCCAGAGTACCGTAAGCCCACTTAATGTATTCATGGGTCAAAGGTTCAGCCAATTGTAACCCGGTTTACGCCCTGTATGTAGTCGCATTTTTTAACCTCAATGGCTTCCAGGGCTCCTTCCCGCAGTTTCCTGTTGCAGTGCTGCGCAAGTCTGGAATCCTATAAACATGGTTACAATAGTTAAAACGATAATTTTCGAGTATCAAAGATCGTTCATAAGAAGATAGCTCTAGTTCACTCGACCAAAGACGTGTCCGAGAAAGTCCGCACATTTGTTCAGATAGTGCTACAGTCTTTGTTTTGAAGCTCTCTTTCGTTTCTCCAGAAGAAGAATATGAATAGCACAGTTTGTTATTTTCGCTTTAATTGTCTTTTACACCAGTAGGTAACTCTGATTGCACTTTTTCGAAGAGGGCGCCTCCGGATTTTGAGTGTCAACATGGACACATGACTCAGCCTTGTTGTGATTGGCTGCAAACCACCCGATCCCGTTTTTCGCAGGCCTGAAAACAAGCGCGTTATTTGTGTAGGTCACCGACCGTATCGATCTGTTTGTGCCACGATGTCCACTTTGCGCTCTCAATTTGGCTAACCCCGACTACCCGATCGGCCCGACACATCCCGACCCGACCTGATCGCGTTTGTGGGCAGCCCCTACCAGAAACACGGTCCAAAGAACGAGTGAATACTCCTCGAGACTCATGTGGACACGTCTTGATAGTCGTGGGTGAAATCTTTTAGCTTACACTGAAATGTGGGTGCAGGGTGGTATTGCTGCCTCAAAAATGAGCAATTTTGTAGGCTCGGATACTATAAATAATTTATTTAAGTGACCCTGTGTATGTTGCCAAAGAATTGTTTTTAACAAAGTGCCCAAATAGAGAA